TTTGTTTAGACAGCACGTTTCATTGTTTAAAAAAAAAAAAAAAGAGAGCAACACAAAGTATTTTACACAACAGGAACTGCACGCAATTTTCGTTCAGATTTCCAATGATGACAAAGCTCCTGAGTCAGTCAGTCGAGCGTGTCGAGCACGTCGTTACCGCCACCGCAACGGTTCGAACGCGCTTTTGTTTCGAGCAAAGATGAAATGAACACGCGAATGCCAAATTAAATGGAAATTAAATCGAAAATGTACACCTGAGGGTGGTACGGTGGACGAGTGGTTAGCGCGTTGACCTCACAGTTCAGAGTTCGATTCCGGCTCCGGCCTTCCTGTGTGTTTGCATGTTCTCCCCGGGCCTGCGCGGGTTTTCTCCGGGTATTCCGGTTTCCTCCCATATTCCAAAAACACGCGTGGCAGGTTAAGGGAACGCTCGAAATTGTCCCGAGATGTGAGTGTGAGCGGGGATGGTTGTTCGTCTCTGTGCGCCCTCCGATTGACTGCCAACCGGTTCAGGGTGTACTCCATGTACAAGGCCGTCCAACACAGTTCAATGAATGCTATGAAATGTTTGCTCGAGCATTTGCTCCTCCTCCTCCTCTGCCCAGGGGACAAATACGTTGAGCACGCCTGGTGCATCAAATACAGTATGTGCTTCCCGTGACAACTGATAATAACCACTTCATGAATAGTCTGACAAAATGTACAACAGCTGTTTTGGGTTTTGTTTCACCTGACCAACCGGCATATTTAAAGGTTAATAATGTTTGCAATGTTTGTTTAGAGGCAGCGAGTAAGTCGAAACAATTTTGTCATTGCAACTTGCTGCTATAATTGAGGTCGGTGCTATTGTATAACAATAAAGACAGTATTCCAACCCCCGCCTCAAAAAAAAAAGTTAATTTCACGTGGCTGACAATCTTTGTGGGTTTGCAAATGAAAATTATTCGTGCCTCTTAAACATTAAGAACCTAAAAGCTACTCTTGATCATCATTCAGATTACATGTACACAGATCATTAAATTCATTAATTGACTTTAACATACCATATGTGTTATACAGTACCTGGTATTGCGCTTTTATTTTATGAGCAATTATTCACTTCAATTTACAAAAAAATAAATAAAATAAAAAAAGACAAATTATAGTGGGGGAGAAAAAATGGCAGCACTGTATGGCAACCTGACATTGACACAATAGAGGAGAATTTACCTGAAAAGTTGTTGCTAGTTGTTTGTCTTAAGAGGAAAACGTCACAACAGCATGAAGTGTGTAAATTAGAGATGAAAGTGGACTTTCCTGAAAATTCCAGAAAATGCAAATACATATACAGTCGTACCTCGGTTTTTGACTATAATCCGTTCCAGAAGGCTGCTCGAAAACCGATTTGTTCGAAAACCGAAACCACGTTTCCCATTATTATCAATGTAATCAATTTTAATCCGTTCCAAGGCTAGAAAACAACTTTTTTTAAAGCATTTTTTAAACTTTTACACCATAAACTGTATACACATGTAATAATAGAGCATGTAACATGTAAAATACTGTACAAAAAAACTGTACAAACATTTTGTATGTTTTATTTTTACCAATTTTAACATAAACATTAACATTGTAACATCTCTCTCTCTCATCGTGACAATTGTAGATTACATTATTTTACACCTTGAACTAATAAACCCTCAAGTAATGGCTGTAACCATGGACTCTCTCTCTGCAACCTTACGCTACGGTACGAGGTAACATCCCTCCATCCATTTTCTGAACCGCTTTATCCACACAAGTCCAGTCTCGTCCATATTAAAAGTTTGCTGGGGAAGATATTCCTCGGCCTTGATGAGATTTCTTATTGTATCCGGGAAAATCCAGAGGACTTTCATCTCTAGTCAGTGACAGATTTGTTTTTTGGTGCTTATTCTGTGCAGGTACGTAGAACTAGCCAATTTGAAATGCTATCAAAAAAAAAAAAAAAAAAAATTAATCTATCATCACGATGAAGCCTGGTAACACTGCAATCTGAGTGCACACGTTCGGACGTCCTCCCTAAGCCGTCACTTTATCGCGGTAGAGGTGTTTGTGTTTCCCCAATCCTTGGAGCTACGATATGTTGTCTGGGGGCTTTTTGCTCCTGGCTGGGTCATCCATAAACAGGGGCGGGGACCAGACAGCGCACAGCTCAAAAGACCCCGAGGAAAATTACAAATATTAGATGACGTTTTCCCTCGGACATGGGTCACCAGGTCCCTCTTTGGAGCCAGGCCTGGTGGTGAGGCTCAAAAATGTGCGTCTGGTGGCTGAGCATGCACCAATAGGTCTCGGCCAGGCACAGTCCAAAAGGACAAGATGAGTCCCCAGTCCCATGGCTTACCAAAGGAGCAATAGGGACTCGTGATGTAAAAGTATACAACATTTAAAAAAGCTTTGAAGCACACAAATGATACAAATGAACATATTTCTTGAAATATCGTTTGCAGCTGTTTCGACACTCTCACCACAGACCGTAGATAAAAACACAGGAATCCATATGGCCCTCACTGGTGGGATGTTGACGCTAAACAACTCATGAGCAGTGTTCACACGGCAACTTTTGCTCCGGTGTAGCACCCCCGTAGAGCGTTCACACATACAAAGTTATACTGGTGTAGCCCCGAAAAACAGCTTCAACCGGAGCAAACATAACCCTGCTCAGGAGGTGGTTTAAAAATTTACTCCGGAGTAAATGCTAGTTTGCGGAGCAGCGCCGATATAAAATGGGACATGTGAACGCTACAGGGGTAGACTCGCTATGCGTGAGAAGAGTTGATTACATACGGGTATTGCATAATTTGCATCCTGGGTATTTTGCACTTCTTTCCTTTCTCTCACTCATCCTTTTACAGTGTCCGATAGACCACAGCGTTGATTTGTCTGGAGAAGTATAAACCATGGTTTTTCGAGATGTCGCAAACAAGACGGGGAAAAGCAAGTACACTTTACGCATTTCGCAGAAACTGCCGTGTGAACGCAAGTGGGGCTGCACCTGGGTTAACACGCTTCTCTTTAGTAAGCAGCTTCATACGTGTGAACGCTCCACAAAATTTACATCGGTGTAAGATATATCGCAACAAAATACGTCGGTGCAGCACCGATGCAAATGTGTGCCGTGTGAAGACCCCTATAGACAGCGCTACGAGGCAACGACCTAATCAAGTTCATACACTTGGTGTTACATTTTGTCATTCTGTAGGTTCACAGACATTGCCAAGAGGGATTCATATTAACCCTTTCGGGGACAGCGGTTACTACAGTGGACAGCTAACCATGTTATTGGGTTACGGGGTGCATGAAAAGCTTGAAAAACAGGTTTTGTCATTAAATACTGTGGAGGCGTCCATCTTTCAGCAGATTAGCACACACTGCATGCCATTCTTCACACTGCAAATTGCATATCTTGTCATGCTGATTCCCCAGATTCCCCATTCGAGATTGCAACTTTCAAATAGAAAAAAAGAACGATAAGAACGACCAGCCCCCACCGACTCAACCCGGGTATCATTGTTCTATTTTCAAGTGGCAATTGAAGCAAAAACGAGCATCAGTAAGGATGAATTAGCTTGTAACCCTAAACCACTCGCATCAAAATCAGTTTTTACCAATATCATGTCAGTTATACCTGCAAAATCTGTTGCAATCCAAAACAAGAGTTTTTCAAATACTTCATATTTGGGCTTCTTATTTAGGTACTCTAAAATATGAAGCGGTTCACAGTATATTGGATTACTTCTTTGAAAACAATTGGAGGGAGCAAAAGTTGGAAAATTATTCATCACGAAATATGACTTCTTATTGAACAAATAAAAGATGACACCAGTGCTGTGTGGGTCACAAAAAAATAGCAAATAAAAAAATGTCATACATAAAACGTATATCAAGTAATTAAACAGAATATGAAACACTGAAAAACATTTAGAAAAGATGTCAAAATTATTGATTCTGACTTTTTTGTTCAATCATGTTTTTTATTATTATTATTATTATTATTGAAAATTTAAATGTTCCCTCTTAAATTATATTTGTCATAAAATTACACCATCATTTTCTTGGGGAAAAAGGCCTTTTTTCCAAGTATATTAATTTTTAAACATTTTTGGGTGACACAATGATATTTTTTCTTGCCAAATCAAGAATGAAATACCGTTTCCGATAAAATAATGACTTAGTCATGACTTCTTGTTAAACTATTACCATATTTGGGTAAAAATGTGACTATTCTGATCAATGACTCTGGTGCAATTTTACACTCATAAAATTACGACTTCATGAAATATGTTGACTTTTTAATCTCTTTTTTTTTTTACATTGTGCCTTTAATACTCATCGTGTAGTTCTGCACGAGTGTTATAATCTGACAGTGTCGTACAAAAAGTGAGCACAGAGTGGTAAACTCGGTGGAATTGTTCATACAGTAAGAAACAATATGACGATCGGCAGTCAGTCAAAAAGTCACGGTCAATCACGGTGGTTTTCTTTCGGTCATTTTTTTTTCTTTCTTTGGTTGTTCCACCTCAGACGGATGGTAGTCGATAAGAGCCACATTCTAATCGGTTACTTGTCTCATAAAACCGGTACCAAATTGCTCTGCTCACCGCTTCAATCGCAGTGACGTCAGCTGCCGGCCACAGCGGAGGGTACACCGAGCGATCGCTACGGGCACGTATGGAAAGCACGTCGCTGTGTAGTTGAGCAACACGCACTGCCTGGTGGGCTCGTTTGTGAGGAGGGCGCACGTGTGAGCCCTTAATCACAGCGGGTGGAAGGTTGCCTCGAAATCCGCCAACACATTTCAGCGTTCCGATGTGCTCCTAACGTCACAAACGAACCGGTATGGCACTATCGGGCGACAAGCGAGTAATGTAGTATTCTGCTTCAAACGTATTTATGCGCCACAATGCTCCAACCGGGGGAAAAAAAATAAATAAAAAGTTCAACACCAAGCAATTGTCATACAGCAGAGTGATACTCACAAGAAGCAGCGGGCGGCTGTATTAGCAGATTGTCATCGATTGAGTTGAAGTGTCGTCCGTGCCTGCATTTGAGTGGAGGGGGAAAAAAGTGTCTCCCGTGGACAATTAGTCAAGAAAGCGTTTTTTTTTCCTCAGTCCGAACTCGGAGCACGCGTGCTCCGTGGCCGTAATTCAATCGTGTCAGCTCACTGAATGATGTTCGGTTTCCACAAAACGCGCCTATGCAAGGCACGCAAACACATACTCGCTGGTGCACGATAAGAAACACTTGACAGACGCACGTCAACTCCCACGGCGGGTTTTTTTTTCCACCACGGTGGAGCTTCGACCCTCGGCCCCTCCTTCCTCTCCTTCGCCGTAATCCCTCGCTCTCTTGTGACGTCACTGCAACATTCGGCCACAGATCACATTCCGGAAGAGGATTTGTCGAAAATGTGACAGTGCAAGTCCAACACCAAATCCAAAGGCAACCTGATTTTCGAAGGATTCCATTGCGTACAAGGAGGGGTGTTTGTAGACTGAGTGGCAAGAACCCCGCCGAAAACAAAAAGTAAAACAAAACAATTGTCAAAGTTATCCAGAATTTGTGATTCTTTTTTTGTTATTAAAAAAAAAAAAAACATTAAAAAAACAACTTCACCGCCACCACTTTCCATGCTCTGAGAGCCAATCTTGCTTTCAAGTCCCCACAGTGACTGTTGGTAGGTAATATGGACAAATAACAGCCGACTACGAGTCCCACAAATAGCCACCAGCAAACCTAGCAACATATCGGTGCCTATCGGTTCTTTTGTATTTCAATTCGTATCCAGTAAAGCAAGTGTTCCAAACTTGAGGCGCCTGACTTGCCATCAACATTTCCTTACGGGCTACCATAGCGCAGGTTCATCCACGTTCTCCGCAGCTAGCTAGCTAGCATGTAGCAGGTAGGCTAACCCATCCAGAATTCACGATGTTTGCCGCGAGGCACTTTCCATGCTCTGAGAGCCAATTTTGCGTCAAGTCCCCACAGTGACTATTGGTAGGTAATATGGACAAATAACAGCCGTCCACAAGTCCCACAAATAGCCACCAGCAAACCGAGCAACATATCGGTGCCTATGGTGGATTCGTTAACGGGGATGTCTTGCAGTGTCTGAAGCAGTACCATTGTTTGTTATTGATATGGCCAATGTCGGCCATCTCATTGAGCCTGCTTCAGCTCGGGGCCCGAAAGACAATTGCTCCGGTTGCCTGCCCCGTCGCGGCCTCACAGCGCGCAGGCAATAATGTGACAATAATATCATGGCAGTCATAAAACAATCAATCAACACACTAGATGCCATCCCCTTTTCTGCTCACATCCACAAGGCTCAAAAGTATTTCTTCAAGGTGCGCTAAATGAGCGCTAACTCCTCTTTTCTAATGACATCCTGATGACAACCAAAATCAGCAGGTGTCAACATAAAACAATCACAACAAATAAAAACAAAATAAAACCATAAGGTAATTTTTACAAACTCCCTCCAAACATTTGGGATTTTAAGATTGAAGGGATTACGCACACGCGTGGTGAATAACATAAAACTGGGCAAATTGGATCAATTAGCAAGTGCAGTAGTTTATGAAGCTAGGCCTTATAAATAAATAGCTGCTGACAAGCAGGTCCGGCTGACATTCTGGTACAATTTACATTGATGGGTCATAAACCTACATCAGTAATAAATCTAAAAGCAGCATAATATTCGTACGGCACTAAGAAAGAGCATTAAGCTGGGTGACACCGTGCATCATTCACACAATTATTTTCAGAGTAATTGTGCTTTGTTGTGTGTGATTGTTATTTTTTGACTTCCTTGTATTGCCTTTTTTTTCCCCCTTAAGGACCGCCATAGTTTTAGCTTGCGTTCGCAAAGTCGAGTCAAATTCATTTCAATAGTTCATGCACCCTGTAACCTGATAACATGAGAAGCTGTCCACTGTAGTAACCGCCGTGCCTGAAAGGGTTAAACACAAAAGAGTCGCAAAGGGCTTCGCAAGCCTAACATTGGCAAATAGTCATAATCTTAACGCCACAGGGGAAAAAAAAAACAAAAAAAAAAACATCTGGTGGGGGGGCGGAACCTTGACAATCACATCTCAAGTGGAATGGAAAATGGCTAAATGGATGTGGTGTGTTAGCTATCCAGTCGTAGGTGACGTCTTACAGCGTTGATTGGTTGACAGAAAAGACAAAGAGGCCTCAAACAACGTGCTCGATAAATTGCTGAGACCCGCAGCTGCCTCTGCGCGGCTGTGATTCATTCCTCCTGCGTGCCAGAATTGTGTGACTGCGAACGCTCCGATGCGACGGGAACAGCAGTCACCCGTCTCGCGCTGGGGAAGAAATAGACTGTATTGTGTGTTCCCGCTGCTCTTTGTGGAGAAACTGCTGCAGAGCGAGGGTCATGTCGCTCAGGTGCACTTTGCATGTTCATTTATCAGAGCCCGCAGACCCGTTCAACTCCACATGCTGCTCAATCTTTCTTTAATTTTTTTTTTTTTTCCACACAAATCCGCTCCAAACAATCTACAAAGTCAAACAGGTGTTCTCGGAGGTGAGCTGATCGAAAATATTTTTCCCCCTAAAGAAAAATAATGGGAGTACGACTGATCCGTTCTGGGGTCAGACTGTCATCTGAAAACTTTCCCGCTTTCTAACGCTCGTAATAAGAAACTAAAATGTGTCCTTAACCCTTTCAGGGACAGCGGTTACTACAGTGGACAGCTTGACAGGTTATCAGGTTCCAGGTTATCCTTATCTGTGTACGAAAGGGTTAAATTAGATTACAACTTCTTTTCTTCTCTTTAGATGCGTTTCACTTTTTCGGTGAGGCAAAAAAGCCACAAAAACCATGAGAAAAGGCAAAACATGCGCAACACTGAACTGCACGATATTTTGACGTCGTGTCAACATTATCAAATGGATTGAATGTTTCGAATTCTGATTGTCACCAACAATGAAATTGCAATCAAAGTTCTTTTGTATTTCAATTCATATCCAGGAAAGTAAGTGTTCCAAACTTGAGGCGCCCGACTTGCCATCAACATTTTCTTATGGGCTACCATAGCACAGGTTCATCCACGGTCTCCGCAGCTAGCTAGCTAGTATGTAGCATGTAGGCTAACCCATCCAGCATTCACAATGTTTGCCGCGAGGCACTTGAGGCACAAACCATTAAGCCATTTAAAGCTAAAAAGGAAAAGTCTTCTGTTGTTTGAACAATAAGGCGCCAATGCGCCTGCTGATCATATTCGGAGGGTTTCAAATAATTGAATGTCGGGATTTGTACAATGCTTTGGCCACAATATGAGGTGGACAAGCATTGATTAAGTCTTCCCGATTTACTATTTAAGTCAAATGGTATTTATTTTTCCGGTATATAGAACATTTTAAGGTACAAATCCAACTGAAAGTTGTTCGCTGATGTCAGCACGTTTCGAGAGTCGGGATATCGGGAGAGTCCGGGCAACACGGTATGCTAATATTAGCATGCTTGTTGTTTTTTTTTTTTTAAATCTTTCTGCTCATCGCCTGTTATAACATCGCAGCAGTGATGCCTCTGCTCAACCAATGAGCGTCCAATCTTTATAGACACCAGACCGTAAATGAGGGTGGGTCGGTGGAGTTGATCTTGCACTTCTTCAGCTTTTCAGATGGTCTCCGTATTCCAGCTTCTATCCTTCAGGTCTTCTACTGGCTGACAGCAACTGGCCACAGAGCAGCAGACGGACGGGGTCGTCGATCTGCCGGCATCCGGATGCAAGATATGGGACACGGTCCTGCCAGGCGAGGCCAAGAATACAGCGGAGGCATCGCTTCTCCTTCATAAATTCGTGGAGAAACACACTAGCCTGTCGACAGCAGCTCCGGTTTCAATTTGAAGGTTGTTATTTTCAAACACACATGAAGTGCAGTCCACCAAAGGCGGACGCAGCCTAATTGAATCGGGCCCGGATGTCACTGTTGATCATCCAACGTTGGCGCGAGGATAACTGCCAAGCTAGCAGAACTGTTCACCAACCTTTGAGGGGGAAGCTATTAATGATCAAGACCGGAAGGAGACGAGATCGGGCCTTCTGCTGACAAAACCTGTTTTTGTGTGTGTGTGTGTGTGTGTGTGTGTGTGTGTGTGTGTGTGTGTGCGTGTGTGCGTGTTCGTCAGGAAGCCGATGGAATGAACGTGAAGTGCACAGTTCTTGATGTGTTGTAGTTCCTGAGCAAGTTCTTTGTCTGTCGACGTGGCATGTCAACCCTTTCAGGAACATCGGTCACTACAGTGGACGGCTTATCATGTTACAGTGAAACTCCTCTACAACGAAATCATGTTTGCAGCAAAGAATTTTTCACAACAGGGGAGTTTTCACTGTAGCAAATTTGATCTCAGATGTAAACACACACACACACACACAAACATATGTGTACACGCACACACAAACGTATGTGTACTCTTTATTTTTATTCCAATAATGTATAAGTAACATAACATAACATATTTGACACTTCATATAGTCAGTGTAGAAAGAAAAAAAGGGAAAGAAATTGCAAAATTTACGATCAGCATTCACTTTCACTTACATCAATTTCTTGGATAATATCTTTTATTTTGTTTCCTCCGTCTTTCATTTTGATCACTTTTACCCTCTCTTTCAGCATCAGAGCTCTTCTTGTCTTAGCTGCTTGACATCCAAAGGTCCATTTTGTAGCCATTTTAGCAATGCAACGTTCTTGCT